CCGAACGAGAAGATTGATAGTCCACCCCGAAATGTCCGGAACCGCCGATTCGTACCTTGCAGTAGTGTCTCCCCATTCCTTCCTTTGACAACCATCCACAACCACCACTCATTTAAGACGCATGAGTGTAATGATATCCATTGGAACTACTCTGAATATTGTAAAATAGCACTAGATTTACTAGTTGATACTCAAGTATATTATGTAGCTGACACTAGTTACCTACTGACATTGAGATTGGTCGTGAACTGGCGCCTTTATTATAATTTACAGTACCCAAAGGGCTGCCTGTACCGACAAGCTTCCGAAGCAGTTAATGCATGGTCCAGATAAGGAAGCCACGAAACCAAATGAATTTCGCGCCGTTAACAGCCGGGGTGTGAGAAGGGCTCTATCTCGCTTGGCAGGGCACTTGCCTCCCACTAAGCCTAAATTGTTGGTTAACAAGAGTTTATGGGGGAAGGGGTGATGATGATGGTGGGGTGGTGAAATAGTTGATAGGGATAGGTGGAGGGGGTGGAGGGGGTGGAGGGGGTGGAAGGACCATCAATTTTCATTAATTACTGTCCGCAATGTTAATTTCGCGGGGGTATGAGACCTTGTGTTCCCTCAATTGGTGAAGCCTGGCGATGAATGCGAAAAAGGCATTCCTCGTGCCGGAAGCATACAAACTACATACATCTGTTGTATGTATGCTTCAGTGCTCCAGACTATGGGGCACCAACAAGGCTTTTTCGATTTGTTTGCGGAAATTTCACATGCACCCATGATATCTCGCTTGATAAGCTGCTCGAATCCCACACTCTATGAATGCACAAGGCGTGTCCTCCTCACATCAGATTGCTAGGGTTACTCCTCAAAGAGTGGAGCAACTACGATCATTGTATTTATGCCTATAGAGTATGAATACAAGTATATGATGTAGATACATGTACTTACGCATGGAATACATGTAGGCATATATCCCATACCCCAGTCAATCAAACGTGCCTGTCCTAGCTCCATATTGTAAAGAATCCATGTTAAATTATTCAATGCCCTGTCAGTTCATTCACTAGTTACATTGGCTACAGCCGCCATTTTTCGCCATAATAAAACCTGTCTCAGCGCCAGGCCCCCTTTTCTTTCTCCTCTTTTCTCTCCCCACACCTACTTCTATCTTGATATCTACCTCTATTGCCTCCAGGCGTCCCTTCGTTCCTTCTCTACACCACAAGTCTGTCGCTCTTTGAAAGTCACTCATTTCTTCTCGTGATCACTCGCTATTCACGCAGCCTCTCTCTACAAACCGCTCTCTATAATTCATTGTGTCAACAGTTTATCTTAATACAATCAAAATGCGCTTCACCTCTACTCTCGTTTTGGCAATTTCTGCCTTGACCTCTCTTGTTGCTGCTGCAACCACAACCTCATCGGGCGAGAATCCTATCACCTATCCTCTTGGCGGCAGTATCAAGGCCGGTTCTGATGTTACTATCACTTGGTACGTTCAATTAACTATTTAGTGCAACATATCGTCCATATACAATTCTCTTGACATTCTCGCTGACTTATTGGATTTCAGGAGCGTTACATCCGGCAATTCTTGCGACCTTGTCTTGAGGAAGGGCAAGGACACCAATTTGGACGAGGTCTTGGACATCGCAAGTGAGTATTAACCTAAGTTTCTGCTATTATATTCACACAGGAATGGAATATTTTCACTTCACATTTTTACTAACATACATGTACCTTCCAGCTGGTATTCCTAACACTGGTGCTTTCACTTGGTCCGTCTCTCCTAAGATCTCGGCTGGTAGCGACTACTCCATCCAGATCACCGCTGGTGATAAAGACAACTACTCCCCCATGTTCACCATTGAGTCCGATGTGACCTCTTCCTCTTCCACCTCGGCTTCCTCTACTTCAACTTCCTCCAAGTCGTCTTCTTCTTCTTCTTCTTCTTCTTCTTCAAGCACTTCTTCGACTACCCTTTCTACCTCCACCACCGCATCCACTACCGTTTCAGCCAGTGCTACCACTACCGCAGCCAATACTTCTACAACTGCAACAGGATCATCCAACTCTTCTGCCATTCTTAGCACTACCCGCGCTGCTTCTTCTTCTGCCACTCCCGAAGCCACCGTCGTGGCTGCCAATGTCAACAGTGGTGCCCACCTTGCCTCTCCATTGGCGTTGGTCATGTGCATCTTCGCCGGTCTCATGTACCTCAACTAAAATATCAACAATATACGGTTGAAATCGTGCTTATAGGGAGGGGATGATTGATTTCTAGCTTAATGTTTCTCAAGTGATTGTATGATGATACATTGTTTTTTTTCTACGGTGACACGCATTCTGTGAAATGACAACAATGCTGTTGCATTGGTTTAACAGACTCCCTACTGGGATTCTGTTTGCCATTAGTTCTTTTGAAATATTTTATATTCTTCTGTCTATTACTATTCTTGTTGCTTTGGTGTTTGTAGGTTCTGTTGCGGGAAATTAATGATTGAGTGAGGTTGAAAGTCTAACTGTTAAAAGTTATCATCAAAACATATTGTGAAACCAGAAGTGAATATCTGCGCCACTACACCAATTTGGAGCCAAACTTCCTCATGAATTGTCACTCGCCTTGGCAAATCGAGCCTTGCAGGTGTCTAGATATATATATGTATGTCTCTCGCCTCAGTAGCCAGCCAATTATTTTAATGCAGGCGTGAAATTCGAGACATACACTTATACAGACTTCCGGTCACAGGAGAGCTGCAGCTCCTAGTGCGTCATTCTAGTATTTATATAAAAATAATATCATGTTACATCCACGATGAGATACATAGATAATCTTACTCCAGAGGTGAGTCTTCCTTATGCGCCAAGGTCTTCCAATTACGGGCTTGCGCCAATCGTTGGGCGTATAACTCAAAACTCGCTCCCATCGATGGTGAATCCGTTTTGAGACCACCAAATCACACCGAGTATTGACGAATAAACCAGCAAGTTAAACAAGCCCGAATCTGGACCTGGACAGGTAATTTCGTCACCTCTTAACTGGTATGTAATTAATGACATACTACGGTGTTCTCAGGGTGTTGGAGTGAACGTGAACTTGAAATGAAGCTGCTATGATTCACGGTCGATAACTGCTAGAAATAACTTTAAAGCCTGCGAGGGTACCTCAATTACTTGAGATACGATGCGACAGGACAACTATCATCGTTGCGCAATGCTCATTGGTATAGATTCATGAGACATCACTCGCCAAGGTAGAGAAGTTAAACGCTTGATCAATTCATTCATTGTTTGCAAGAAGTAACATGTTTTGAGGGAGACTGCCTATTCCAACTTTTCTATAGTGTGGTTGTTGAAGTGTTCCTTCTGGTCAACTGTTAATTGCCTAGCTCGAGCTGCAGTCATTCTCGGGTCAATGGCGACACTGACTCGACAATCTGTGTCTTGCGGGGTTAACCAAATTTGGCCCCGAAATCGGTTGTTTCGCGGGCTTGAGCACGAGACAAAATACAGATACAGTTCTGTTAGATGGTACAAGCGGAGTGCGGCCTCCGGCCGCCAAAAAGTAGTGAGGAAACGGGGGCACGGTAGGTACTGTGATGACATTTTCGGATTGAAATGTATAGGCGCTAAGCTTGATCTCTCCTCGTGGGTAATCTGTGATATTAGCTCAAGTACATGTATGTACATGTATGCATTAAGAGTTAAAGAAATGCACTCACTCTAGGTCAGTTCTTTCAATGCATATGAGTACTCTTGCTCACAATCGGGGTGCCGCTGCGCGGCACACCGACCCTCCTTGCTCGCCGACTTTGTAGTAAGTACATGAACAGTCGCAACCAGATATGCCGGGACTCAATGCACCGGATCCCTTGCTGTCCTGTACGAGATCCTCTGAGTATATTGTTTTTCCTACTGCAAAATCAATTTGCTATCCCGCACGAAATCCTTAGAGTCTTGGCAACCCGGCATATCGAGTTGCGACTGTGGTGGGGAGTTCGAAGTTAATACATAAGTCTTTTCTTTTATCCATCAATTGTAATGACTACACGCTTTTTAAATATGCCAGTTCCCTTCCATCTCGGAAGCAGTTCTTTGCCTGACGATACGCAACCTGTAACTAATAGAAAACATTCCTGGTGACAAAGAAGACTATTAGATAAAAAATTAGCGAAATAATTACCAATATTGTAAATTTATATGCAACTCAAAACAAGGACTCCAGCCAGCTTGACAGGGCACAAAGCTTATACCGAAGAAATATAGATTACGGGTCGAGCTTCCAAGCTCTAAGAAGGTACAGGTGTTTATCAGTGAGGTTTATATCGCGGCCAAATTTTGAGATTGATGGCATTGAGCCTATAATGAAGGCTAAGAAAAATACAAGCAGAGAGAATCATGGGGTTAGATCTGTATTTTCCTGTTGTGGTTGTTACAAGACGACATTGGAGTTGCTTTCACATACAAAACTTGGTCGTAATGCAAGCATCCTGTTAATTATGTAAACTCGATATTTTTATTCGTTTGGCCTTCTTGAACCTATGTAGAGTAAAGAGAGTGATTTAACAAGAGAACGCGCACCAAAATCCCATACCCTGTCACTAAGAGCCAACTTCTTTCCATTTTTATAATTCAGGTTCAATTAAGCACCACCGAGTGATAGTTTATGATTACGCGCATCAAGAGCGAACTTGTCTAATTGCTAGGCAACTACGAAATGTACCACAGGGCTGGGCTAGTCGATGGATTTCTCGTGAAGGTCACACGTACGTACGAAGTCAACCCCCGGAGATGGAGTCTGAATAGAGCGAGTTTTGAAATACGCAATTGGAAATGTTAGGCCGGGTGGAGGAAATTTTAATACAGTTTTTGGAGAAGGGCACTAGATTGCCCTTAACAATCTTGCCCATCATTGGAAAGTTACCAGTCAAAAACAACACAACTCTGGATATTTATGCAACCATCTCAAACAATGAACCAGTGAGTTCTCGTCCCCCCTGAACTCCCGATCACTTGCGCAACTCCACGTAGTTTGCAGGCTGCCGATGTGTTAGCAATTTAAAAAAATCCACGAGGGAAATGATGACATACAAAGAGGCCGCGCTTTCCACCGTATGTTCCCAACCACCAATCATCGTCTGGAAATTCGATATCTTCGATGATTGCCTCATCAGGGAAGGAGAGTTCATTCTCTTCTGTTGCTTCATAGTCATACTGGGCAATCGCCGATGGGCCGTTGGTGGCTTGGTGTTCTTCCTCCTGCGGTGGAGGAGATTCTACAGAAGGTCTATCCTCTGGTCGAGAGGGTGGAGGACCTTGTTCTTCTTCGTCTCCCTCGATAAGCTCAACATAGTTGCTGGGGAACAGACCACTCTCCCCCTGTACGTTGCGTCCAGCCCACCAATCCTAGATGAATTAGCACAAACGGCCGTACTGTATCGCGACGTCAAAAGAGATATATACCTCGTCGACCATGTCGACCTCTCCAACAATCTGTCCCTCGACCAAGTTTATTTCGTTCGGCTCGGTTGCTTCGTAGTCAAATAAGATGAGTGCACGCCTTCCTGCGCTGCCTTCAACGGTTTCACCTCCTGCACCTATACCAACTGTTTCCGATCTAACCCTTGCTGGCTCTTCGTCCTCAAGATCATCTTCTTGTGGAACTACCCTACTCAAACTCTCTATGGGAATGGATGATTCTGGCTCTGGTTCATGTGTTATGGGATCTTCCTGTTGCCTAGATACGGGCATTGCGATCCTAATAGGACTTCCGGGAATCTCAGGAGTGGGTGGGGTAGGAGATCTTGGAGGTTGCGGCGGTGGGTGTGGAATTCCAGCTGCGTTTGTCTCATCTTCATCATCAACAGGCTTAGGAGGGAATCCAGGGAGTGCGACGGCCCCTCCAGCGACGATAGTAGGCCTGGAAGAGATATCAACGGGTGGAGGTGGAGGAGCACGCTCTCCTGTAGTTTGCTGGAACTGGTAACCGCCGGTTCTTGGAGGGCTCTTTGGTGATGTCGGTGCCCCCATCGGGGGCGCGCCTGAAAATTTATTTCTCAGTGCGCTGATACCACCCGCGGGGGCTTGTACATCCTCCTCGTGGTCATCCAATTTTTGTTGAGCAAACTTATTTGACAAGCCATCATTACTCCCGGAGCTACGGCCGGTGTTTGAGGTGCTAACAGGGGGGTATTGCTGGCCTGCGTAAGTCGGCGGAGTGGTTTCGCTGGCGCCTGAGAGACCGCGCTCTCTAGCTTTCTTTTCAGCCCATAACTGGGCGGGCGTTTTACCACCGGAGGAGCCAAAGTCTCTACTTGCAGAACCCACAGGTGCAGCTGCTGGGACAGAAGGATTCAATCCGAAACCACCAGGCGTGGGTGGTTTAGTACCAAAGCTGGGCGCACCTGTCCCAAACTTCTTTACAGGTTTTGGTTTGGGGAGAGAGGTGAGTCGCTCACTTTGCGAAAATGCAGCTGATCTCTCTGATACCGGTCTTGGCCTTTCTTCCTCTTCTTCATGCGCCGGAGATGGCCTCGCTTGAGCTCTGATGGCTGCGATATCTACTTTACCAACCGGCTCGTATGCACCCTTGACAATCTCCGGACGCTCAGATTTCTGCTGTGCTTGAGCTCTAATAGCGGCAATATCTACTTTTCCAATAGGTTGATAGGCTCCTTTCACGATATCCGGTCTATCACTAGCAGATGATGCACTGCCATAACCAGATGTAGTGGATGTTGGCTGAGCTCGAATTGCAGAAATGTCAACCTTTGTCGGTTTATAAGCAGGCGCAACCTTTTCCAACTGGCTCCTCGTTACAGGTGGGGCATCTGCACCCCAGCCATCACTGTCCGTCTGCTCTTCACGTTTGTAGGGAGCTCGCGAGCCTGTAGCACCGGAAACTCGAGTAGGTGTATACGCAGGTTTAGACGATGGAGCCGGCGGCTTCGGGGCAGATGTCGGAGGAGCGGTGGAAGTGCTCGAGGACGAATACTTAGCTCCCGAGGCATCACCGACCTTCTGGACTATAGATTCGGGTGAGAGGTCGGATTCAGACCGGGCAGTGACTTGTACATGGTAACCCTAAAACATCGATAAGTAAATTTTCGATGCGAAGGATAACGCATAGCTCTATCGGGTAGCTACTCACATGCAAAACTTTGGCGGCCGCGTTTAGATGGCCGGTGAAATATCCCTTGACTCTTTCCGGGACGCCCTCGCCACACTTTCCCCAGCTAGTCAATGAGGTTATCCGGACAGTGGAGGGGTTGGAGAGCTTACCCAGGCAATCAGAACAAACTTGGGTAACCCAGAGTTCGGATCCTTAACCTTGACGAAAGCAAATTGCACTTTGCCATCATTGAACTCTTCGATGAGCTCCTCAAGCTCGCCATCTGCAAACACAAAAACCGCCTGTCAGTGTTCGTTTTTAGGAAATCAGCAATGGGCTATGAATGGAATGAGTCGTTTAAACCTCCTGTGCTATGCACTTTCAGCGTGCTAGCTTTGGATGTAGAACTCGCAACAAAGGCATTCTGCAATGGTACTGAGACAGCAAAGACAGCCCACTGGGCATGAGTTGGGGACTTATTTGCGGGGGCTGGAGATGAGACGAGGGTTTTATAAGAACGGCCAATCTCGGGAGAGATGTCTAGGGAAGCCATGATGTTGTGAGAGAGATGGCTGGATGTGTATATGTGAGATAGATAGCAAGTAGGTCAAGAGCAAACTTCCGGTAGGATTAGTGAGTATGATGGGAAGGAGAAAGGGGAGGTCGAAGAACAGAGACGACAATTAACAGGGCCACAGGGTGGTGGTGGTGATGAGCATTCATACGCTCTGACGACAACAAGCATGTGGCGGGACCACAGGTTGTGGCTGTGCCGAACAATTAGTATTAGTGCTTAGGGCTCGAATCCAACGGAAAAAATGGCATTGAACTCCTTACCCTGCACGAGGCGGGATTTGTGTGGAAGTTCAAATGAAGAAGTTATAATTATATACTCTATATAAATCACTAACTCAATGCTAAACTCCGAGCAACGTTGAAGATAATGGTATTTCTCAGGCGCGCATAATAGTGATTTTAACCACTCGTTCCTTCTATGTATATACCACTACAGATACTGTTAATAATATTAATAGGTGTGGATGACTTGTCTTATAATTAATTAAACCTATCGAGGAGTTTGGACCCACAGACATCTGGCTATGGTTGCTATCATGTACATATGGTGCCGGTCACGATAGATCAACATTCCGGAAAAGCAGTTTATTAAAACATATATTTTGATTTTATAATTTAAATTTTGAGTCTCGATAAATGTTTTACCGGAAAAATTGGCTGGTTTTAGGTTAAACGACAGTGATTCCATGCACATATAGGCTGGAAGGTCCTAGTTTTTTTGAATCCTAGGTACATGTACATGTATCTACTCCTTCAAAAATGGATGATCGAGGAGGCTGAAACAGAGAATTTGTAATCCTAGTGATTACCTACAGGTTGTCTATCTTCAAACTTTGAATTCCTTAATATTTTTTTGAAGGCTCGGATATAGTTGGGCCAGAAGAGTTTGTTTTGGAGTACAATAAATAGGTAATAAGTGATGGAAGGGCTGGGACACAGTGATACTTGCTTTAGGTAAAAAGTCACCAACATACGTACGGTGTTTACAGATAACTGTATCTCAGTTGATCAGAGCGTTCCATCACTTATTACCTATCGCTATACATGTACGTACTACAGGTATTAATCATTAATCGTAGCCGGCACCATACATGTAGGTAGGTACAGGCCTGCTATACGGTGATTATTTTTCGTGATCGTCTACGTATCCCGATTTACTTTATACGTACATGTATTTCTTTATCAAAAGTTGCTCTAGAAATATTAGGGATATTCCATTATTACAAGGACAAAGTACATTTATAACAGATATCGGCATATATTGATCTAGATCTCAGGTGAATGCAATAGCAAAGCAGCATTTATAACACTGCTTCATTCTATAAACTATAAGTTATTTCAGGCGTAAAGCACTTCATCTCCCTCTGCTTCCAGGTGTATGAGCCACACAACACCATCATTTTCGATTTCAGGGACCTGTTGATGAATTGAATGATTTTAATTTAAAGTTAATTCTCGTGCATGTGCTTTGAAGATCAAGTAGTTACAGTGCTTCAATACATGTATGTAGGGACAACAAAGATCATCTAGTGTATACAATCAAAATTCCATGTGATGCGTACCAGAGATACATATAGCTATAGAGCTCAAGACACATGTACACCCGCGGGAAAAAGTGACGAAACAACACCTGCACTTAACACCAACCCCAATGACGAGAAGTACTTGAAATACAAAATGAGAAAGAGCGTATATACTACGGCCTCTGAAGTGTATTTAACACCCTTATGGTATCCCTTCAAAAGTCATGGTTGTTGGTTAACCGCGTTGGTGGTCACTCATTGTTTCGTCACTTTTTTCCTGCGTAGTGATGGGCACGAGACTTGAGGTCTCGAGACCAGGTCTCGAGCTTTCCAAACGAGACAAGACAAGATCAGTGAAAATAGTCTCACGATTATCTCGAGACTATTGTGGGTTGGTCTCGAGACGTCTCGCGAGATCATTTTAGACCCTTTGAGAAGGTTTTGGAGGGATTCTACTTTTTCGAGGGAGATAATTTTTCCACGAGATGATAATTAACACAAACAGTTGCAGAAATATCATTAGCTTTCCTATATTTCGCCTTTTTCCCAAAGTCTCGAGACCTCTCGAGACTTTGCGAAAGGTCCCGAGACAAGACGAAACCTACTACCCCTAAACACAAGACGAGACGATACCCCCTAAATGTGGTCTCGTTTTGTCTCGTGCCCGTCACTATTCCTGCGGGTGTATATGTTTATTATAGATGCAGCTAGATAGGTCTGAAGCTGAGTCTCTCTAACCAGAAATACATACATATGTACACAATTAAGATAATTATACATCATACAAGTGCGTAGTATATGAGTACTACCTGGCCGGTACTACGGGAAGTAAATCAGCAAGGTATTTCTAAACCTTACTCACCAATACCCAGTATTCCCACAAACATTACGGCAGAACTATGGTCTTTTGGGTTATATCGCAGCCGTGGTGCTACCGTAGTGATCATGATTCCACCCCGATTTTTGCTGTCGTAGCTAGCTACATACATACAACCCCACTATTGAAAACAGACTCTAACACCTCTTTCTGACATTTGTAATTTATACTCGCGGGTGGGTTAGTGAGGGTTTTACGGTTTTGATTGGCCAGTAAGTAGGCATTCGCAATTGAATCATGTTCTCCATATCTGACCCGGAAAGGACTATAGCGCCGTATATGAATTAAGCAATAAAAAAAAAAAAAACTATAGCGCCGTATTCACAGCTTATCACTCGGAAAATTCAATCTAATTGATGGGAACCTTGAAATATAAAGTATTACCTTCCTAACATCTACTCCAATCAGGTCATCGGGCAAATTACAATGTCAAATTTTATGCACTATCAATCTTATACCTGACATCACCGACAGTGATAAAAGGGATTCGGGTAATATAGTATTGCGTTTCACCCGAACAGACAATGGGTAGCAGACGTACCGGGGTCAGTCTGTTAATAACTACACCAAATTCCAATGGGAACAAAGTCCTTGGAAAGGCGAGGTGCAGGAGTATCATTGAGTTAGATACGCTCTATATATGCCATGCCCGTTTTGGCCTATTCAAACCTTTCCCAAGGCAGTTAGGACCTTGATAGCTCGAAATAAACGCTGGTGAAAGGCAAGAGACTTCGATCAAGATACCAGAGTAACGGCATTCTTGTTATTCCTGTTTCTGCTTGCCAATTGCAAAGTCACATAACTTCAATATCAGCCATATCCCCGTTTGCGAATATTTCTTTTGTAGGTTTGTTGAGATCTCTAGGCTTTGATTACAGCTCAATTACATTTCAATTCAGTTTCTATGACCCATATCATCTATACCAAGTTCACAACAGAACACGATCAGGCACGTAACGGGCAAACATCGCCCCGCGTTTCTCTCTTCTCCGAACGGAACTAATTATTCGGCCGTGATTTGTTCGGAACATAAAGTTGCAGCGCCACATAGAATGTAGACTTTGACGGTTCTAGACGCCGATACCTAGAATGAAATAAGGTTGATCTAAACCCAACCAGCCTAACACAGAAAGAAAGAAACGAAAATTGAAAACCGTCTTCCACTACAGTACAGGCCTCGGCTCCAGGTACAGCAACGTAAATTTGAGAAGGTTTAGAATAACTTGGTAGGGAAACAGCAACCTACATCTAGAAGATAGAGGAAGCCATCTCCAACTCATGTCATTCGTGAAACTGAGGTATTTATAGCTCACAAGTAGTCTTTATTGTCCACGCCTCCTTTAAACCTCTCACTAAGGGTTCTGAACTTCGACAAAAACGCATCTACGTCTACATATGTCCCCTTCAACCACCTATCACCACTTTTCGGATCAAACTCTCTCCTTCCATGTACTACTCTCCTATTGTTAAAGATAACGCACTCTCCCTCGTTGAGTTTAAGCTCAAATTGTGATTCCGGATCTTCTATACTCGTGCCGAGATTACGAATTGCATGAAGCCAGCTCCTAAAGACCCTATTATCCTTACCATTCGTATCGACCTCTATTGGTGCCTGGAACGGCGGCGACCAGTTCATATGGTCAATGCGTGGCTGGCGGAGGTATGTGTTCTTCTCCAGAACAACCGTTGGCCGGGTATAGTGGTAATGGTGCCCATCATTCTTATAATGGAAGGTAACAGGGAAATCGCATAAGGCTTTGAAGAGCGGTTCGGAGGTCATCCGGACTGTCTGTGCAGCACGAAATGCATCGGCGAAAAGGGAAGAACCACCCGTGGCACTGTTGCGGATGCAATGAAGGAATTGAAGCCCAGGAGGCGATTCAAAATAAAGGAGGTCCATGTGGAGGCCAAGATTGAGGGGAGTGTAGCTGAGCTATTGTCAGTGAAGTGTTGATATATGAGGATATGTGAAGTACAAACGCTATGTTTTTAGCATCTTTAACGCTCTTGACATCCCAAGTCCTTCCGTAGAAGGTTTCTTTAATGTTACCTATCCGTTTGGCAATTCCTTCGACCGAATTCTGCCTCGAGTTTTCCGGAACTTTACGAAGGAACACCAACCCATATATTGATAGGTATCGAACAGCTTCGAGCAGCATCTCGTCGGACTCCATATAATCCTGGTAGTCAATCCATAGCACATCTTGCTCCATTAACCGCTTATCCCATAGGACTTGTCGTCGATCATTAAAGTTACTCCTAAGCCTCCACCTCAGGTTTGCTTGAGTCCGAAGAAAGTCGAAACTATAGGTACTTGTGTGCTGACCGTCAACTCCTGGTCCTGTATCCCACTTGATAACGAGTGTGCCATCAGGGAGCGCTGTTTGGAACTTTGGCTTCGTGTCGTAGTTTATGTCGGAGGTCTGGATAAGCTTTTGTTGCGTTAAAGGGTCGACACACATATGGCATCTACAAGCGTCTCGGAGGAATATATTGTCGAATGCAACTTGTTCTCCCTCAATGTCAACCGTGACATATCTGGAGGCGGTTGTTTGAATGACTGAAAGACGGTTTATTGCCTTTCTCGTTGGTAGAGGAGCCCATCGTTTCTCTTCGGGGTATTCTTGTTGGCGAGGAGACCTTGACAAGGCGAAACCTCTCATCAGATTGTATTGGATATCTCTGCTCGAGCGCCACACAGAGCTGTCAGCTGACGCCGTGGGCCGGAGTTTTTGGCAAGCTGGCCTTCTCAGGAGCCCGAGTGGGCTTTGTCTGAGGATTGATTTCATCATGGCGGGAGAGAAAGTGTAACTTGAGAGCGGGACAAACTTGATCACAACTTCTCTTTTTTTCCTCCACACAACCTCCGTTCCTCCGTTGAGGCTCTTTAGACATCCCTTCAACTTCAACACTCAGCAACAAGCGCTAAAAGAGCTAGAAGTAAAGGAAGAAAGGAACCCTTCCAGAGAGATATCATAAACGAGCAGACTTTGGTTCGTGATGAGCCGAGTCGGGAAATCGAAATACGGAAACGAAAATGCAAGTAATCTCATGCTCACGTCTCCTGTGATGTCATAGGTTACATCCCACCAACAACAAAAAAAATGTTTCAATATCGGCATTACTAACGTATGTTTACAGGCCTCGAAACGAAGCGTTGTAACTGCTGGTGCCATCGCAGGTCTGGTTTCACGGTATGCTCTGCACAATCCCCTATTTATCGTGTACCGTCACATTCGGCGATGTCAAAATATAGAAATAGGCTAACCTCCCCAGGTTTGTAATAGCACCTCTCGACGTCGTCAAGATCCGCCTCCAGCTCCAGATTCACAGCCCTGCCGCGAATTTTACTCACAATGGGCCATTATATCATGGTATCTTTCCGACAATGCGGACAATTGTCGCACAAGAAGGGATCACTGGACTATGGAAGGGAAATATCCCAGCAGAGGCTCTATATCTCGCATATGGCGCTTCTCAATTTCTTACATACCAGCAAACACATCTCATGATCACGAAGTCAGGTTGGGAGGTTCCTGAGAGCGTAAAATCATTTATCGCCGGAGCTACCGCAGGAGGGCTTGCAACAACGGCTACATATCCTCTAGACCTTCTCCGAACCAGATTCGCCGCACAAGGTCAAGAAAAGGTTTGTCTTCATTCTTTCCTCTAATGATGATTCTTTCTAACAACCCCGCAAATAGGTCTACCAATCTATAAAACACTCGGTTCGACATATTATCGAAAACGAAGGTGCTTATGGCTTCTTCCGTGGCCTTGGGGCCGGCGTAATTCAGATTGTACCTCACATGGGCCTATTTTTCATGAACTACGAATTTGCCCGTCAGTACCTCTCTACTGTACAACAACTCCCGAGTGGATGGTCAGATGCTATAGCTGGCTCCTTTGCTGCCACCGTTGCCAAAACAGGTGTATTTCCTCTTGACTTGATCCGGAAAAGACTACAAGTCCAAGGTCCTACCAGGCAGAAATACGTCCATAGAAACATACCAATCTATGCAGGCATCTTTGGTACCGCTAGAGACATCTTAAGTACGGAAGGACTCAGAGGACTATATAAAGGGCTCTTTGTAAGCTTGGTGAAAGCAGCACCGTTGAGCGCAGTCACGATGTGGACATTTGAGAGGAGTCTAAAGGGTTTGACATGGTTAGAGGAGAAGAAGATTGTGCTGTAAAGGTTGAGTTGGTTCAATGTTTCCGATGTAGACTGGATGGGAATTGTCATTATGGTGTTGTGGGGTAGTTAGTATATACCTTGTGGGACTAGTTTTTCAACGGGAGGCTGGGCTGGATTCTTGGTGTTTTTTCTTGCTTTTTTTTTCATTAATTTAGTGGGATGGCATTTGATTTCATAGGGAATAGAGTGCATGATGGGGGGGTATTTTATAATATTAAGCCGTCGATACCAAAATTCCACCAATTTTAGCTTGAGACAACTTCATGCGATATCACTCGGTAGTCTTGGCTCGCACGATGAAACATCTCTGCCCCCTAGGTTGGGATTTGGATCTGGCCTATTACGATAACCGAGTGTGCGGAGAACTGAAGATTGTATCATTGGCACATGCCATTCACCCATATATCGACAGCCTTGTTTTTATGGGTTTGGGATTTCATCCCCGCCTGTCCAACCACATACCATAACTCAACCAATAAGAAACGGCCTGTGTTCCAGGAACACCGTGTCTGTATCTGCAACAAAAAAAAACCTGGTCCTAGGAGATTTATAAGCTCTTGAATCACAAGGCCTCCATAGGTAGAGCTACGCACCGGGACCGATCCACCCTCAACTGCTTAGCTAAGGCTGTAAGGAGCTCAATCTAATCTTGAGCTCGCAGCCCCCAAACAACCCCCAGCTACATTTCAGCATACAAACGTTTCGAGGTATGCACAGTCTATCAGTTGTGCCCGATGCCCCGAGAAGAAGCTTTGCGGGATGTTAAGAGATGGGCACGTGACCGATGTCCTCATGTGGTTGATTCATGGATTGCCGGCCGTAGCGGATGAAATACGGATGAAATGGAAAAAAAAAAAAAAAAAATGAGATACGGGAACTTCAGTCTACTCTATGTAGAGCAGGCAGGTACGCATAACTCGGATCATTGTGAAACCCCATGACCGTAACGTGTACATCGTTCTTGTGGAGATGACTAAACCGCCTAACTACAGGACATTGCCATTGCCATTGCCAGACAGACACCAGGCAGACAGAAAGCTCTGTGCACCTTTTTTGATCAGACGCGCATTCCACCATTTCACCACACAGCGGAGGAGCTCAGTTAAAATAAAAGTGATCGGGTAAAGGGTTAGGTGGGGGATGTTCGGCGAGAATTGCCCTAAGGATATAGGGGTCCAATAGGGCGTTTACAATCATCCGTCACCCCTGGTCACTTGAATCTCTCAGAACGCCAGAGGTTTGCACTTTTGGATGGTTTCTGAAAGTTGAGCAAAAACAGCACACATGTTAGGTTCTGGGCCCAATCAGCGGAAAATCTTAATAATGCGGAATGTCTACACCTCCTATTTACATGTATTGCGTCATGACATTGGTATTGCGGGTTATTCTCATGCAATAAACCTCCGATACATGAATTTGATCTTAGTGTAGAGAAAAACCCCTTACCATACCCCCCATAGCTCAACCGCCACGATATTAGAAAAAAAGATCACCGCGGGGCCATGTTTAGGACTACAACAAGGACATCATAATATCAACCGAGAACCCCCAGACCAGACCATCTCAAGGGAAGTTTTTTTTTTCGTACGTACCGGAGATTTTCCCTACCCCGCTACTCCGGCAGCATTTCCCAAGGTACTATTGTAGATCATGTCGTTAATTGCAGCCCACTCTTTCTTCAAGTCTCGGGGGTGGTATTGTTGGCTGGATGAATGATTGGTATGACAGCTGCTGCATTGCAGATGCTGTAGACTAGACGCCCAAACCACATTTTCCACACTTTTTTCGCTGCACTTTCTGCTTCTCCGGATTAACGTACTGATACGAGGCCAGAAACCAGATCTCTTCTGTGATTGTATGTACCCTAGATATTGTAGATACTTGGCTAGTTTCATTTATTAAGATGTGATGTGCTTTGTGCACCTTGCGGGGTTAGTAGGGTACGGCCTGGTCCGCCTGGATATTGACCCTCAATCTCAACCTCAGTCAAGGCTTGTATTACGGCTAATCCTTTGGTCGGAGAGGGGAAGTTGTATTGCACTTTCACAGCCATTGTGCTATCTAATATCAGTGATAAGCTATATACACCGATGACGGATCTGTGGTTGTCCATCTCCGGCGTTAGATACCACAATCTGGTGCGCATTTGTGGTACACGCTTGGATAATGTAAATATATAACCACTCTAGAAATTCAATTATCGACACCATAGAGCACGTGACATAATGCCGGGTCAAAATGATACTTTGCAAACATCATTGAAGAAGGCGCTTGTTAATTATTACTTGCAAAAGAACATCGTGGGCTCATTCGGTAGTCAGTATATAGATGAGCTAGGGCCGGAAGAACCATTGTTTTTCCTACAAATATCCCCATTCTGGGGTATCACAATCACTACGGTGCTGTAGTATACAATCTAAGAACAGTACATAGGGTTTAAGTACATATATCTGGGAATTTCCCAACTCACATATGTTTCAGTGGCTAGCCCTGTTCTAAGATGGAGATTCAGTCAGTAGCAATACATAAGCAGCTCTATGATATACAATATTCTACAGTTATATAAATTAATTGTCTTTACAGACAAGCCCTCTATCTCTAGTCCCTGGCCGCTTTTCAATGCGCCAGCACGACTGGTTTTCCCTTCTCCCACGAATTCAAACTCTCCCTGATATTCACCCAATACCTCAGCCTTACCGCCTCAATCTTTGCATTCTCCAAATCATCCTCCTTGAAGAGCTCTCCCAGTCTCTTCAAGCTGCCCTTGATCCTCTCTTCATTAATGACCTTCATAGGCCATAGATCCTCCTCGTTCTGGGCCTCCTCGATCTCTTCCCTGGCCTCCAGCACCTCCATCAACAGCTCCTGGTCATCCATCTTTAGATTCTCGTCCTCGGCCACGTCGATCCCACGCAGCTGGAGGATGTACTGGGCCCGGTGAAGCGGCGAGAGCAGCGTGCTGTAGGCGTGGTTTAGGTAAGCTGACCCTCCCTCGGCTTGCCGCTTTAGGGTCGGGTCGGTGACGGTGTCGGGGTGTGTGAGCTGCTGGAGCTTGAAGAACTCTTGGCGGAGAGCGCGTGGGTCGAGATCGAAAGGCCCGCTGGGCGGTGGCCCGAGTGGGAGCGTGTTGGGGAAGAGGGAATAATAGGTTGGGGGCACCTTTGGCCCGTTGGATGAGGAGCGGCGGAGATGCTGCAGAGGCCGGAGCCGTAGCAGCGGGCGTAGAAGCTTGTTGTTGATTGCCATTTTCCTGCCCGAACTGTAGTAGAGATGGGGTTTTTTTTCCTTTCTTTCTTTGCAGTTCCTCTAGCTAGAGTTTTACAATGCGCAGGTGACGTTGTTTTTGATATTGAAAAAAACCGGGGTTTACAACCTTCCAACTCCGCGATTATCAATTGGCGCGCGACGTTTGCGCGTTCATGAATCATGAATCATTTCTCCAACGTCAACCAATTACCAGACTTGTCCAGATTCCCGAATTTACATAAAAGTCTTCCCTACCGATCACTCTAAGCTCCATAGATACCAAACCCCACCCCACGATGCTCTCGCACAGTGGTTGATACATTGGTACATGTACCTCTCCCAAACCAGACCTATCACAACCACCCACAGCCACGATCATGATTGTTCGTTGTTGGCGGCCTGCCTACATACCGCCCACCGCCCCTGGATGGATGTAAGAAAAAAACAACGACACTTCACTTTACAGGTTACGAATGTTCCTTTTTCTTCTCCCGCCGATTTTTCTGCCTGCGTAACACCATCGTACTTGCCATTGCAAACACCCCCGCGGGGATCGAGATTTTTTTTCCTTTTTTCTATTTGCTTTTGTGAGTTCTGATTGATGGTTGCTTCCCACACAATTCAAAACACGGTAGAGGCAGGATGCGATACAAATGATCAAGTAGATGTTATGTTAATTTCCCCAGCCTGAGGCTTTGAGGAGGTGGTTTTTGTTAATCCTATTGTACAAAAAATAATTGTTTGCCCACCAAAAAAGTACCTACCATACCCCCCTTTCCGTGATGACCTGCCTGCATCTGAAGATGTTTTCCCAAAAGAAATAGAAACCCATGAGAGAAAAGAGAAAAAAGTAAATATGAAATGAAGCCCCCAACCGAGAGTAGAAGAAAGAAAAGAAAAAAAAAATTGAAGGAAAGAAGGAAAGAGGAGGGTAATCCTTACCTTAACTTTCCTTTCTACTTATCCATTCGACGCCAGCCGGCCGGTAGAGGGTCCTTTTTTTGTAGTGTTCTTCGAGTTTCCCATAAAACAAAAATCCAAGTCCAAACAGCCATAAAGAAACATGAGGAAGTAAAAATAAGAAAAATAAGAAATGAAAAACAATACAATTATTTTAGAGATTTAAAAGCGAGGCAAAAAAAGAGAAGTAGGAAGAAAAGGATGAGATTACAGCAGCTTCCACATCACGTCAATGATCGTTCAACCACGTACTCTCACCCTCTTCGCGCCAGGCTGTGGAAACGCGCCCCACGCCGCAAATGGCGCCTGCTGTTGCTGTTGCTGTACATTCTCCTCTTCATCGTCCGCCCACCTCTTCCTCTTGCTCACGCCGCCACTTGGCGCTGCCGCGGCCGCCGCAGCAGCAGCAGACATGTGCATTTCGAGCTCCATCTCCATCATCATGTCGTCGCCGTCATGCTGCACAACCACAGGCGCAAAGCGTTCCTCGCCGCCAGAAACATCAATCATTTCATCCTCGACGACTGAGCCTTCAGGCGAGGATCCCAGCTCGCACTCGGGCACCTGCGTTTCCGCTGGAGCCTGGAGCATACGCCCGCCGTGGTAGGGGTACACGCAGTCATCGTCGTATGACGAGTAGTCGTCGTCTTCGTCCATGCCGCCGTTGTCGTTGAGCAGAGGCATGGGGTTCTCGGACGACGAGAGCTTGTACCCGGTGTTGGCGCTCTCGGGACGCAGCTCCTTCAGAACTTGTTGGTCGACAAAGTCCCAGTCGGGGTCACGGGCGCCGCAGGAGAAGCCGGCGTAGACGTGGCGTTGGGTGGAACGCTCTTTGTAGGAGAGCCATTGATCTTGCTTGTAGGAGTTCATATTGATTGTAAGGGAATTGGTAATTTTATTTGGTTATGGTAGTAATTGCAGTAATTGCAGTAATTGCAGTAGTGGTAATTGTAATTGTGATGCTAGAGGTGGAGAGAGTAGATGGTGGGTAATAGTAGTGTAGATAGGCTGACGGATGAAGAGTGGGTAAATATGATGTAGTAATAATCGTGTGAGGAGGTATGATGGAGCGAGTGAGTGAGGGTAGATGATGGAAGAAGAGGAAGAAGGAGAGGAAGGGAGAGGAGAGGAGGAAAGAAAAGGAAGAGGAAGAGAAATAGCAAGAGAAATAGTAAGAGGACAGGACGAGTGAGAGTGGAAGAGGGAGAGGTTAACTTCAAGTACGGCATGAGGAATGGCTTCCAAAAGGTGACAAGTGCAATGTATTATTATCATAAAAGGTTAGCACCATATCGGAAATGGACAAATGGGGAGGCTGGCAGCAGCAAGCAGCAGGCAACAGCCAGACGACAATCTACGGACGGGGGAAAAGAGACAGAACGGACGAGAGTGGGAGCAAGACGGACAGTCAGCTCTCCAACTTACTAACTTACTAATAACCTGCCGATAGTACCGGAGGAGACGAGGAAAGAGAGGGAGGGTAGGTAGGGGAGGGGCGAAACAGGAGCGCAGTCTGAAAGCGGTAGCGAGCAACTCACGCCGTCTCTCTCTTCTCCAACGCCTAGCCTACATAGCTATGCGCGATGTCCATCCCCCACCGATTCGGCTACTACCGCAGAGCCCCAAAAACGAAGACCTGTGATTGGCCAGAAAAGGCACCTAATACTACCCCATACAGGGCTGAATCAACAGAACAGGACCGAAAAAGTCGACATGGTCTCTGCTCCCTTCTTTCTGCGATCCTCCCCCACCAAATTCCAAAATCGCGTCTTTCCAGAGTAATTTGGCCTCCCTTCCTTTCTCTGGCGTCCTCTGACACAATCCGGAGGGTGGAGAGCCAGGGAGGATCGCAAATATCACCCGCATGCGGCTTCAGTTAGCTGCTTCTGCCTACATGTCTGTCTGTCCAAGTTTCGCCCTGTTTGGCTAATACGGGTCCACGATCTACCAGGTTTTACAAAACAACGATGGAACGACCAGAGCAGGCCAAATCTTGGGTTTCCATGCCAACAGTCATGATCACCATCATCAACCTTCTGTCCATTTTTACATTTTTACATTTTGGCAAAGCAACCGGAAGGGAAAAACCCATCCATCCCCTTGAAACGGCTCGGCTATGTGCATTACACAACATGTTTATCAACTGGGGGTCACAAGCGAGGGCTGTTCATACAAGCCAAGACCCTGTATCCAGAGGCCAAAAAATATTAATTCTTCCAAGGGGTAAATGTGTTTTTTTCCTAGGCCCAGTTTACAATTTAGATTAAAAAAAAAATACAGAAATAGAAACGACAAGAAAGAAAAATCAGACCAAGACACCACTGGACAGACAGCCTGAATCAAAATCGGCAAAAACCAGCGAGGGCTCAGGGTTGCCCAAAAGAAAGAATGTGGAGTGTCATCTCCGACTTTCCGGGCGGCTAGTACCAATCAAGGCTCAGGGTACCAGTTCGATTTTATGGAGACCCACCCTCACTCAACTCTTTTAAGAAGATAAACCCCCAAGCCCTAAAACCAGAAGCCATAAAGGACAGAGGGCTCAGGGCTTCCTTCGCAAACCTCCCCAATGCACCAACCCATACCAAATCCACCCAGACCACGTATCCCACTCCCGCAGCCTCACTCTAGACGCTCATCAAGCCCGCCGTCCAGAACTTATATCAAATCCATCTAGGAGTGCAAAAACGCCCTTTTCCCTCCTCCTTCTCCAGAACAAGGAATGAAGCAGAGAGGGCCAAGGTAATTTCACCTTGTCCGGATGCACCTAACCGTTCGAGGTGATCTTCCGTAGACCTTTCTCTCCCTCTCTCTCGACTGACTTCGTACCACACACCATTACCACACCACACACCTGCATAATTGACCCTGGGGGGAAAGAAACTCTTATCACCGACGCGTCATGGATTCTCACTCGGTAGGTGTTCTCACGCTAGGCGCCGCGTGTAACACACTCCATATCAAGCTCAGGGGGGCACCGGGCGTTGTGTACGTAGAAATACAGACAGGTCCCTAGCATACAAAGTACCCTCTGGATAGGGAGGTGGTCACTTTTCGCAAGTGAAGAAGATAAAAACATCTGGCGGATGTCCACCGCCGCCGCCGGCCGGATAAGGGTCTGGCCGCGCGCCGTGCGAGCGCTATCTATCATATCAGCTTTTCCCTCTACTCTATCCACGACGCGTGGGGATGAAAGAGGGCGAAAAAAAACCGGATCATTTTTGTCGGAGCTCCGGGAGGTAAGATGAAGAGAGAGAGGAGGGGAGGTGTCCCTGTAACATTGGGGGGCTTGGAGGTGAGGCTGGTTTAGGAGTCCGTATTTCTTTCCTTCAACTACCCACGCCACCACCACCACACCAAGGAGAGGGGGGGGGAGGAAAAAAAATAAAGAATGATTTATCACAAGGCCCCTTGACTGCGCATGCGGTGCGTAGCTAGCAGGAGGGATGTGGGAGGGCCTTGGTAGTAGGGTACGCCAGGAAGGAGAGAACTGGGGTGTGGAGTGCAGGGGTTCGCCTGTGAGCGTGCTCACTCAACTGCCTAGGTTGGGTTGGCCGCGAGCCTTGGGGTTGTGAACCCTAAGAAGCTATATTTGGCAGACCAAGGTTTACGTGTGTTTGACTGAGTACTCAGGTGCTCTACTTAAGAGTAGCCGCGGTACTGTGCCTAGGTAGGTTTACGTACTGCTGGCATTGTAAATACTTACAGATAGACACCCCTTATCTCCAATAAGCTCTGTCGGACGAGGTCAAAGTACCTACCTACCAGTGCCAGTGACGATAATTCGACATTGCAATACTCAGTGAGGGCTAGAGTGCATACATGTAGCTAGGTTACGTGTTGAGTTCCAAGAAATCATCACTGTCAGCCTTGTATAAAAGGCGTGGGCTATGCGCGCATCGATATGTTCAGTGAGGTATAGAACAGTTGATATGTCATCTACAAGTAATTACAGTCGTTCGCGAACGGACGCATTTTCTTTTGACGTATAGTGGCCATGAGTAGATATGAGTATGAGCCGGCGATTTTGGGGGGGGCGATACTTTTGTAATTTCTCATCATCCGGCCTTGTCCACCAAATTGCAAAAGTCCGTGTTTATATTTGCATTTATGAGCAAGGCGTCCATTCTTGACTAAACGCCTACACATCCAGAACCAGAACCCGCCAGAATCTAGAACCCAAAACCATTGTTCTCGAGCATCAATAGAGTTTGACTCAAGGCCAGCAGCGCAGGGGGAGCTGTTTTATGTAGAGCAGAATGGAATCTGGGGAGGAGGCTAGCTGCATCGATGCACCGATATTGTCTACATAACGGCGTTTAGTGTCTCTCGCAGAACAAAGGGCCGGCCGTCCCTTTACATAAGACATCTTTAGGTCCATCACCGCGTGTATGATATGTAGGTACATGCTTTATGCTTAAAATGTCGTTCCTGTAGATCGCTGTGTGGGGTAGGTAATAGCGGAGGCTGTTTTGTTTCCAGCGTGCTTTGTTTGGCGTGTAATTTAATCGAGATTTTAGTGTCTGGGAGTAAAGAGATGCTTGGCTTTGCAGTGTATGCTGGGATCACGATGTATCACTCGAGTGGCGTGTTTGGGCGGGGCGGCGAGTTGGATGTCGTAAGTGGAAGCAGCTAACTAGTGGGCTTGGGTAATGACCCCAGACCTTCAGTAAATATTCAGCGCACCACCCGGAGCACCACCGGTGTACTCGGTATACCATACATTTATACACCACTCAATCACCATGAAGAGAAAGAAAAGAAGGAGGATCAGATTTCCCCCAGCTGGCCGGATTCAGTCCATTTTCCTCTCCTGTCCCTGAGCTCCTAAATGGCGTGCACGTGTAGTAAGTTTGTAAGTGCACTTCCGTATGGCCGAAAGCTCACAGACGGGCCAAATATAGGGGGCCCGGCCCATGGAAGAAACAGCCGGGTCCGGGCCGGCCCAAGTCGCCCTCTAGCAGCTCGTCCATGAACAAAGTCATATGCTATACGATATGTTCATCACTACACTGTTGATTTACGTACTATTGATGGTATGGAACGAAGATAACCAAGTTCAACATATCCCGTGAACGATGGGATAGAATAACTCTTAAGTAAAGAGGTCCCGAATGGATGAATGGGTGTATTTGGCCTCGAGATAGAAAACCTCGGATGTGGCTTAACACGAAGAAAGTCGGCCTACTTGGTATGTCGCAGCGAAGGCGAGGAGCGTGTCATGTGCGATTACACCTCTGACGTCCGGCATTGAGGGCTGTAGCATTCAATTCACATATACACATAAACATCCAATATAGTTATGCGTGATGCAAAACCCAGCACTCGACCGTTTGGTAGCGGATTCGCTGGACAATGAAAGGGCTAGAGGGTGTAGATATACCAAAAACAGATACCGTAACTACATCCTTACCACTCCGCAGCATTCTTGTATTACACTATCTTCAAAAGATAAAAGGTCTCGAGACGCTCCTTCTCGCTGTATTCTTGGTGGCCTAGGCGATTGGGGGGAGCTTGTGGATAGGCCACGACACACCGAATCATAAGCCTGTGTCCTCATCTTCATACCAGGCTACTCAACCCCGAACTACATGTACGCCTACCTCCCACGAGGGAACCCTTTTGGTATATGCAATACATACATGCATGTAATGTCTTTTGGTCTGGCCTTAAGATTTTTCTATTTGTCCATATGGGCACTGAGGATCAGATATTCTATTTTTGTAGGTATGTGTTCTAGTGGGTATGGAAGCTTAAGAATAAAGCTTTTTTGGGGGAGGGGGTGGAGGGATATTTACTGGTACTGACAAAATGCGACTCGGGAAATGCTAACCAAACCTTACAACTACTAAAAAAAAGGGCTCGGGGTACTCCTGACGGCTTTTGGTGTTTGGTTGTGCGGGCGTGTACGTGAGAGGGCGGAAGGGCCGTCCCTGTTCTTGTTTGTCATGAACGCTTGTAGATATGCTTATATCAACCCGGCATGTAGTGCCTTTAGAGGTGGAGTTGTGAATTATTTTACTATTATGATACCTTGTGGCAGATCCCTCGCTCTGATCCTCTCCCCCGCTGCCTGTTTTACCACCGAGTGATAATCTAAGACTAGATAACAGACACCACAAAAACTGGATATAAGCCTGCGGTTTTAACCCGAGAATTGCCATGATTTTCACTATAATCTGATGGCAGATGAAGATATCTTTCGCGAGTTAACGGCTCGCAGCTAATCGTTCTAATCACTATTCACCTCAATCAGGCACCCCATTATCCAAAACAGTCCATCCCACCCGGCATCAACTACAAAAACACGAAATCCCCAGGCTGTAAACAGGCACAACAACAACACGTCCTCCCAAGATCCACCTAGCTACAGTACTCACAATGGTCAGAACCTCAACCCAGCGGTCCACGGAAGAGCCACAGACACAGAGACCTTCAATTATAAGGAAGCGGAGTATGAGGGGACTTCTGGATGTCGACGGTTGGAAATGTGCGCGCCCCCCTACTAGTTCGATTGGTTGATCCACTGATAACTGATACCCCGCGCTGCACAGGCAATTGCAATCCACGGTACTTATCACAACTGAAACGGCCCATTCCATTGGTATATATATCAAGGTGAATCACTAACACTTGGCTCCTGTGTTTGCAATACCTAGACTCCCTGCAGTCAAGTGCACCGTCAGAAACAACGGCCTTAACCATGGCCGTCGATGTACCCAAACCCCACCAACCACTCCCTGAAAATCTGGATCTGGATTGTTAATACATAACCCAACCCCACAGACTACAAATGCCCCAATGCCGACACAGGCTGCGATTTATTCCTCTGGGAAACCGAAGCCATTACCCGCGAACCCCGCCCGGACCCCAGGCCCCTCTCACAGCCCGACCTATCGCTCCCTCCAACCCCCTCCACAGCCAGCAGAAGACACACCAGAGCCAACCCCAATCCCGAGAACGTAGTGGCGGCGACGCCGTTAAATAAGCGTCGCATCAGTGTAGATCTCACGTCCGATACCGAGCCCGACTCCGAGCGTGATGATGAGGATGTAGAGCCGTATATGAACTGGCGCGAGCCCTCACGCTCCTCAAACGGCGTGGCAACCCCGCGGAAACAGCGGAGAATTGATACCCAGCTGTCGCCTTCCAAGTCAAACAATGTGCAGCTGCATCAATCGCGTCTTCCCTTTGGCCCAGCAGAGGCGAGCTCATCCTCCAACCCCCGCGATGCGCTCTCTCCACATCCCGCATTAGCACCGCCGCCGCCGGCCACCACCACCGGCCCTCAACGCAAATCCCCGCGCCTCCACCCCGAAGCCGCCACCGCCCAAACCCCATCTAGACCACACCCTTCAGTCTCCTTGTCCGACAACATTCCCACTACGCCGCGCACTAACCCCGTCCGGCGCACCCTCTTCGGCCCGCGGCCGCGTACCCCGCCGCCGCAATCCCAACCCGCCTACGTGCCCGTCACCCCGGGCTCCCGCAACCGCAACATCGGCAGCCCCGGGCGGGGGCTGCAGGACACCCTGATCGCCGACACGTTTAAGCTGCTGGACCGCAATGGCGTGAGCCTGGCGGCGTTCTCGGCAGACCTCAGGGCGGTACTGATGCGGCATGTGATGCAGAAGGAGGGGATCTCGCAGGGGCGGGATACGCTGCGGCTGGCGATTGCAAGGAAGGATCTGGAGGTGGCAGATATTGGGGAGAGGGTTAGGGAGGTGGAGGGGAGGAATGAGACGCTGGAGAGTGAGAATGGGAGGATGAAGGAGGAGGGGGAGAAAATGGAGGAGGAGGTTGTGGAGATGAGGGTTAGGGTTGAGGAGCTGGAGGAGGAGAACGAGGCGCTGAAGAGGGAGAAAGAGGCGTTGGTGGAGGAGAAGGCGAGGATGGTGGAGGAGAAGGCGAGGATGGTGGAGGAGAAGGCGAGGATGCTGGAGGAGGAGAAGAAGATGAGGGCGGAGATGGCGAATTTGGCTTCTAGGCTTGGTAGGTGGATGATCGACTGGACATAATTGGAGAGCTAGGGAGCTAACTGCTGTCTTATCGTAGGACGAGTGAGCCTCGATTCGCAAACCCCGCAGCGGCAGTTTGAGGGGGTGATGTTGGAGTTGGATACGGCGTATCTCAATATTAAATAAATTGGAAGTGTCAGGTCTTGTGGGCATACTGATATGTATAGATTGGAATTGTGGCCGCATTAGAGGGATATACTTTGTTCAATGGGGCTGTGTTTTTGATATACCTATCCTATGTTTGCGATAAGTATTATTTGATGAAAGAGTTTCGGATTGTTAGCGTCGGCGTATCTTGGTTTTTGTTTTTTGTTCTTTTTGGGACATTGTTGAAATGATAAATGATATATATGACCACCTCAAGGGCTGTGAAAATGAGGGTTTTGAAAGTACAGAGCTCGACTGTGAAAACAAAGCCACATAGGCCGGCTCATAGTCAGTCGCATGAAGAGGTTTCCATTATATGTAAATTCGTTGAGCAAAAATAATTGCATGCATACATGTACGTACATATCGTAACCATGGCCTACAAAATGATCGTTAGCTACATGTAAGTACAGCTAAAATACACAGGAGTACATAGGTACTAGGGGTGTGCCAACTCGCGACCGCGAGTTGTACGTTGAATTATGGGTATCAAATAAAATTTAATTCTCCCTCTACAATCATGAGGGGCCTTCGGCCCCATCCTCCTCCTCTCGTGAGTGCTCAGTACTTTGATGTGTCGTGCTGACTAATCAACATCCCTGCACTCAGCAGCCAATCAAACCGTTCCAATGTTAGAAAACTTAGCGATAGTACATTATAGACATACATGTACTTTCAAATAAATCGATATATGTATACTTACTCACACGCTTCCAGAACTCTGTTTTCGTCCGTTTGACTGGGCGGAGGTTTTTCTGTTATCGTGATGATATCCAGTGCATTACCAGCAAGTAAAAGAAAAGACAGAGAATAGACCGTAGCCAATCTAACTAAGAAAACTGGACAGCAAGACAAAGGAAAGCAAGACAATAAGACAGCAAAACAAGACCACGAACTCTCTTTACAGGCAACCCGCATTGAGCAGCCAACGATTACTTCAACTCCGGCACCATTGGATTTCCATATAGCAGAAATAATTTACGATTAAGGGTTCAGTGCGATTCGTGTACCCTCGGAGTGTACCTAAAGTACTTGGGCACACAACCACCGGTTGGGATGAATGAGCAGGTGTCATTGATCGGGTATAAAGAGAAGTGAGAGAATTGAAGGCCCTTGCCGGGTTTTTTTTACACTCGTACAAGTCGAGATATTCGTATTAAGCACTAACTGCCACCCTTCTATCGGCGGACTCATTCAGACAGACGGAAAGAATCATACAAGGTAAGGTAAGGTAAAAATTCAGTACAAGACGGCGAGGCCTTGTCCGCGTTATTTGAGAAAGAAAAATATAAGCAAGAAGAATAAGAGAAGAAAAGAGGAACAGAAACCACAAGAATTAAAGTCATTAAAAGCTCCTTACACCCTACACCCAATGTGCCAATCATCATGCCCAGCACGTTTTGCGCACAAAAACAGATAGTCCCACAGAATCAGACAAACAAACTGTAATAATAATCATCATCGACCCCCTCCCTACTCGGCAAATCTGGTGGGTTTGTGTGGAAGTCATCCGTGTACCTCACATTCAGCAGCCGGATCTTGAGGCCATAGTTCGTCACCAGGTTGATGAGTTTACTGGTCTCACTGGTGATCGGCTGTTGGTTCAGGAGCATCAGAAGCCCATCCAGCCACTCAGACGCAACGCTATGAGTTTGCGGGTGCAGTGTCAATAAAACAACCTCTCTGGCATGTTTGCGGTCTGGTGAGTCGTGTGGCGGGTACCCATGGATCGTTATCTTGGTGGAGCCGAGCTTTGAGGCTTGGGTTAAGGTGTTTGTGGACGAGTTGGAGACGATGGACGCAGGGACAACATTTGAGACTACACTAGAGACTATTGAGAGGTCGACTATTTGCAAAAAAAAACATATTAATAGGGATTCTGGTGACCAAAGGAAGATGCATAACTTACTCTTCTCTGGAAGCTCTTCCAGTTTCGGCTCATACGCAGTCTCCATTTCATAATCGCAGTAATGCAGATATCGGCGATTATGTGACAGTCTCACATAACGCCACGCCGTTGAGTGCGCTTGAGTCTTCTTCTGCTCCTTCTGCTGCGTCGTCCCATTTTCTGTCCGTGGAGCAACCGTCACAGGGAACCATGCGCCGTGCAAAAGACACCTTATCCGCTGTTCTTTTACGAACTGGAAAGCCTCCGATTTCAATTCTTCCCTGACCTGTTTCAAGTGATTCCCCCACGCACTTTCATATGACTGCTCTAGTATCTCCATTTGCAAATCCCTCAGCCTGAGATACTCAAACAGCGTCAACTCTTCCTCTACTTCCTGCACTTCCTTGGTCCGAGGCGCTTGGCCGACGACATGGTAGATTAGTACTCTTACGAGTTCTGCAACCTTATCAAAATCTTCTGCGCTGGCACCTGTCTCGGTCCATAATCGAAGGAAGGCTTGGAGGCCGGCGGTGTGAAGCCGTGACCATTGAAGAAGAAGGGGACGAAAGGCGCGCTCATAGTTCGTTCGTGATTCGAGGACAGCATAGGTTTTCGCGTCGTCAAGATCGGATTTATCAACTTGGAACTGGTGATAAAGAATAAGTGTAACAGTGATGCTAGCACGAGCAACGGGGCAGCGGAAGTCCAGTGTTTTTGCGTTTTGCTCAAGTAAAACCTGCTAAATATCAGAAACGTGCGCACCTCAATGCTGAGTGCAACTTGATGAAGCTAGGAAAAACAAACCTTTCGAAATCCGTCTTCGTCCTTTCTCACAAAATCTGTCAAATCCATCATTCCCAAAAATCCAACTTCTCCAAACTCCCATGCTGGTGATTCAGTCTCGAATCCTAGTCTCCTCCATTTCTCGGGGTTGTGTTTCTTCTTTGTTGAGGAAGGATCTGAATGTTTCTCTGGGGCACTGGCCAAATGGAGGCCCTTCAGAGCTATCCGGTGTTCCTTCACTTCTAAATCTACCTTTACGTCTCTCCATCTTCGTAGCAATACCTTTGTAAGCGCTTGAAATTCAAGCAGCGGGTGAGCAAGATCTTGTAGGGCCGAACTTTGCATAAGGACCTATTATAAGGCAGTCTAGTCAGATATATGGTCTGCCAACTGGATAGGTAGTTGTTGATCTTACAAAGACAGCCTTAATAACTCCTAAGTCCTGCAACCTTTTGATAAACCTCGGCCACTCGTTATCCGCATCATTCGTAATAGCATCTCGCATTAAAGAATTGATCAGTTGCAGAGAGTTCGCACAAAGCGCATGATCAGCAGACGATAGCCGGCTAACCAGCATTTCCAAGAACTGCGGATGTGCCCCAATAGCTGGTTTCAACGCCCGGAAGCCGAATGGACCAGTGTATGAACCACGTGCTGAGGTTATATGTGGATGCGATACAATAGAAACCAGGATCGACATTGCACCACGGAGGATGTTTACGAGGGGATGGGTGACTATCAGTTCAACCACCTTTGATAACAATTCGTGTCAGTGTAAATTCCCAACTCTTCTGGCCAGCATTCCGAGTTGAGATTTACCCGTGATATAAGCTCGGCATTGACATGGTCCCATCCTTTATCGAGTTCCAGTAGTCGCGAGAACGAGGTGAGTGAATACGCCAGAGTATTGCCGCTTGCTGTCAACGCCAGTTCCCGTAACTTCGATAGGCCTCCCTGAGCAATGAATCGTTCCGCGAATGAGGGGTCCCCGATATTTGATTGAAGCTTGAAGACTGCCATTTTCTTGACGGCGTCCTGTTGATGCTTAGTCAATGCATGTATCTTTTATCTCCCCCGACACCTCCGCCTGCTCCTATCCACGCATAGATTGGAATGAAGAGAGCTATGCAGTAGCAATAACCTACTTCATCATTAGATAGCCGCTCGATAAGTTCCGAAATATTATCCATTTTTCCTAAAGAGCCGAAGCTCGTAGTATCGGTTCGGTTCCGTGGGGCGAATAGGGGCGAGCCAGAGGAATATCGAAAAGGAAAAGAAAAAAGAATGGAAGCTAGAACTGTACAGGCACAGCAGACGAAGGTAGCGATTCCAACATGTAAGGGATGGAAATCCCCGTGATCAATTCTCCGAGGACCAAAGGTGTGAAATTTTCAGTGAATCAAATGGATGCGCAAGCGGTGAATGAAGGATAACACTCTTTTTTCTTGCGGGGACAAGCGGAGCTTCCCTGCCTGTGCCCGATGAAGTTGAGTCGCGAGCCTCGCGATTGGCGCACAGGCCTCGCGTCCCTGCCAGGGACCTTCCTCTCCCGCTGTTGTTGGCTTCCTGCAGATCCGCAACTGAACCAAGCGACTATTGGACGAAAGATACTCTGGAGTAGAGTAGGTAGCTTTAAAAGGCTTTATTGGATGAAATGAATCATTAATTTCAGCTACTACTACTACTATAAGGCTCTTCTCAGGAAGTGCCGAGATTGTGTTCTCCGAGTGACATTATATGATGTAAGTTCCTTACCATGACGAGGCAAGTTAATTACACCAATTGCATGTAGTACCACCTCAGTCAGATCTACAGAGATGATTTCATCTCCCATGTAACTTATTTGTGTCGAGATGCAGTTTTATCCCAAGGATCTCTCTTGAAAGAATCTGGGTGTGCTTTTATATGAATCATACAGTATGAGTGCAATACAAGCCTCAAGACCAAAACCACTGGAAAACAGCTTATATCCTATCTGTTTTGATCTCAGTCTCAGTAGACAGTTGCTGAAGCATTAGAAAGGGGGGGTGGTTCGATTCACGACTGTGTTGAGTTAGTGTTGTGTGAGAGCCCCCTTGGTAGTGTGGCTGTAGCGATGGCGGTGCTGTGGCTTAGTTAATTATGGTTGTGAAGAGGATTAAAAAAGATGTTATGTTGTCCTTCGGGACATTTGGTCAATTTGAAACGATACAGAGAAGATTAGCATGGCCCCTGCACTAAGGATGACACGCTTCACAAAGATGAGCTAAACAGTTTTTTTTTGAAATCGTGTGGTCGGAGGTTCGACTCGCAAAGAATCCACGCCTTT